ATAGCCACATGAAGTAATTCATTCACATTAGGTACCAATTAACAACAAACTGGTTATGGAAAACAGATCCTATCTAAATCAAACTCAGTACCTGAGAGTTAATTCATTCCTTAAATTAAATGCTCTAGGCTGTCTCATTTGTTAATTTTGAACACAGTAAAGGTACCAGCACCTCATGGGAAAGGAAAAATCAGGTAATGCCTCAAGGAGACCAGAGAGGAAGATAATAGATAAGTTAGAGAAAAAGATAAACTCTGGCTAGGGATAAATGTGAAAACAATGTCAAGGTAGAAGATCTAGAACCCCAAATCAAATGCTCAGCCTCACAATGAAGTACTGAACAAAGGGAATCACGCTGCATCCCAGCATGTCACTAACAGTTAGCAGGTCCCCACGGTAAAAAAGAAAAAAAAAAAAAAAAACAGGAATAAAGAGGCTAAATCAACAATCCAAAACAAAGAATGATGGCTTACAGCACAGAGACCAGATTCAGCAAGCAATGCTATCAGGGATCCAGCCCTCGGGGGTTTACCTGTGGCCGCTGCTTGTGCTGTGTCTGGTTTTGGTTTTGAGGTTGTTCCCAGTTTCCCCGGGCTCGGTTAGTGCCCACCGACGTCATCATTTACAGTATATACAAATAACAGTATTTACAAGGTAGAATACTGCAAGATTAAAACAAAAAAAGTTTAGGTGTTAAATGTGGGCAAAATGTTTCTTTCATTGACCGCCCCACCACCACCACTAGACACTTTGATTTCTTCAAAGGGACAAGCCAAAAGACTTGCCTGCTCTTGGGACATACTTAGTTTGACAAATTCCTTCAGAAACTATGGGTACTCATCTATTTTTGTATAACAAGAAATGTAGAAAGCATGCACAAATCAATTTTTCTTTAAAGAAGTGAGGGTGAGGATCTGGTAACTAGTCCCCTAGATTCTTGCTTTTTAACCTTCAACTACAGCAAGTAAAACAATGTTATCAAAAGCCTTCCAAATAAGTGAAAGTATCTGAAGTCTTTTCAAAAAGGCAGATAATCAGCAGAGACAGGAAACAAAGGCTTTTCAGAAGGCAATTAGAGAAATAACAATTTAAAATGCTGCATTCAACCTAAGGAAACAGCCATACCTGTCTTACAACTGTTTCACACAAATTGCATGTGACCTCTACTGTTTAAGAAAGGACAAGTTGAATTCTAGCCTCCTTTGTTTTGTGACTTAACACACTGGTTAAAAAAAAAAAAAAAAAAATCTATGTATTAGTGCCAGTGACTGTGTCCAGAATTCCAGTTTCTTTGATAACCCCAAATCACAGCTTTTCCAGTTGCTTCTGTTTGTCTCCTGGACTGTATTTTCAAGAAACCAGAATTGTAAATACCTCCCACCACACACCTTAGTATACAAGGAATCTCAAGTTTGTCCCAAACCAAAAGCATCTAGCAGTTTCATTTCAAAGGCTTCTGAAAAATCATCTGAACTTGGGACATTAATGCCAATGAGACAAACTGAGTCTTTAAAAGGGGTCTCCCCCAAACCAGAACAGTTTTTGCTATAATACTTCTAATAAGCTTTAATACTACTGAACTTGAACTCAAGTTCCCTTCATTCATATTTTGCTTGGTAATGTAATCTCAGCTGCTGAACTTAGGAAACAATGAAGACATTCATTATATAATAAGGAGTGCTCAAATAGTTATTTTGCATTGCTTTATTCCCTTCCAAAGTGAACCAGTTATATTTTCTGGTCTACATTTATTTTTCATTAATAAAACTTCACAGTTATTCTAGACTGTCCAGGACACACTGCTGCATTGAGGGAGGTAGCATGCACTTCTAAGGAACTGTATGTACAAAGATTAATTATTAGCAAAGCAAATTTCACCCGTTTCTTGGATGGCACAGAAAAAGCCAACTTCCCTCAAGATAAATTCACCACGTTATATCAATAGGTTGTATTTTTGCTTTTTGATGTGCTCATTAAGAACAAAGAATTTTACATGATCAACAAGAGATGCTATAAGCATCAGCACAGCTGATTTTTAATCCTCACTTCTCCTGTACACACGTGTACACAAAGGCCTGTAATACAAATATCTCAAGCTGCTGCAGCATTATTTGTTACACATTAGTCCATTTTCCCAGGCTGGCACTATGGTCAAGTTTCAACACACAGTTTCCAAAAACAAGTATTTAACTAAGTACCCAAATTAATGAAAGAGACGGAAAGAATCAAGACTTTAGAGAAACTTATTTAAAATTGGTTCTAAGACAAGGCTTCTAATAGTCATTTCTACTCCATTCTTGCAACTTATACACATTGACTGCTTTCTAATTCACACGTAACATCAATATAGAGGATGAGACTCCATGACTAGGTATAAGCTGTATGTATCACCCAGTCTGATGCAAATACATTACAGTCATCTGAATGACACATAATTCAACAGGAAAAGGGAGAAAAGCTCCCTCATCACTTTTGCTGTTAACTTCTTTTTCCCTCTCACAAGTGCCTTGAAACGTGTGACTACACAACTTCACCACGTAAGTAGGAACATCACCAAGCAACAGGTCAAAACCAAGTGGTCTGGTCCTGGAGGGCCCACAGTCGGCAGACGTTCAGTAGCAAGCAGGGTCACATACCCAGACTTCACGATGGGGTTGCAGAATCTTAGTTTCTCTTTCTCAGAGAATTAAAATACTTAAGGGAAGTGGGGTGAGAAACACTGAGGACCAGGAGAGTTGCACAGGAGCAACCCAGGTTTCAATACAAGTGTGCCCTTCACCAGATTGTCAAAACCAGCTATTTCAAAAATAGCCAGAGAAATTTTACCGAAAAAAAAAATAACAACAATAACTGGCATTTATTTAAGCCTCTGTTATGTGTCCAATACTTCAGGAAATACAAAAGCATCATCACTCGGTTCCTGCCCTCAGGGAGCTTACAATCTGAGAAACTGAGAAACTCTGAAGCTAGACTGGGGTGGGAAAAGTTTGCAATCACTGACAGCACAGTTGGGGTTTCTAGAAGGCTGTGTGGAAATGACCCCTGCATCCGTTCCCCACCACAGCTAAATCTAGTAAGCTTACTTCCCGGATAGGATGGCTTCGTAGAAGCTTTCAAAATCCAACAGTCATAATGTGTAGGCCTTTCAATTACTACAGGCCAGCCACACTCCCCACCCAGGAATGGAAATCCTCCTTAGGATAGTCTAATCTTGAAGGACAATGAGGCAAAATTTCAAGGCAGTTTTTCAGCTGATGCCCAGCCAAAATGTTTTAATTCTCCACAAGCGTTAGTTTATCACCCACCCTTCACCACCTCTGAGCAAGTCACATCAAATATCTCCAAAGAAGGGTGGATGGGGAGGAGACAACAAAAACAAAAATTTCTCCATTTACTACTTGGCAAGAGTCAACGGCAAAAATGCTCATATGAAAGGTAATAATGCCTTAGGCTGCGGTGTTTCTCCCCCAACATCCTACCCCTGAGGTGGCTACACTTCAAGAAAAGGTGGAAAACGCTGCTTCCTTGGGTGTTTGTGACATCAGTTTACAAAGCAATGGAGGGACTGTCCACACCATGAACGGTCTGAAGAAATTTGGAATGCTTGCCCCATCAGAAGAGTGAACAAATACCCAGCACTTTAGTGACGTTCCTCGAGCGTAACATACACCCTGTGGGGGCTGGGGGGGGCCGCACGTCCAGCTTCCCAAATAACATCGTAATTGTTTGGGATACACCAAACTACTGTAGAGACAACGGGAAGTCAAAGACAGCGGCAAAAATATGTCCCGAAAGCCGGGTCGATGAGAAAGAAGGAAAAGGAAATAAGAGGAGATGACAAAGAGCCTGGAAACGGAGAGGGGACGCGAGCCCACGCGTGGAGGATGGGAGGCTCACCCCCCTCAGCGCCACATCAGGAACCCACGGGGCCAATCGCCTCCCTACCTCCCACCCGGAACAAATTAATCCTCCGCACTCCAAACTGAGGGCCACATGGGGGAGTTTGGGGCAGCTCCACCCCACCACCCGCCCTCCCCCCTCACCCCTCGCCACCCCCAAACCAGGCCGGATCCGGATCAGAGGAGGCCCGCAGAGGGGTAGGAGAGGGAGGCGGCCCTCCTCCAGCACAGGGTACGGAGAGGACCCTACCTTGGGCAGGGCCCAGGCCTCGCTCGCTCGCGCTCTTTCTCGCTCTCCCCCCCACTCAGGCCCCAGCCGCATGGCCCCCCTCTCCGGTTGCCCCAAGCCCCGCCCCGGCCACGCTCCCAAATCGAGGCCCCGGCTCTAGCGCGGCCCAGTAGGCCGCGAACCCAACCATAAACAAAACCTCCGGCGGCGGCCGACTCGAGGTGGGGGGGGCCGCCGGGGCTCGCAGAACTGGAGGTGGGGGGGCGGACAGTGGGGCGCACACGGCGCGGGGGGGCCCACCGAGGGAGGGGGCCCGGCGGGGGTAGGGAGAAAGGAGGGAGGGTAAAAGGGGGGGGGATCGCGGATTTAAAGGGGCCGCGGACAATACCCGGCCCCGCCGCGCTGCCGCTGCCGCCGCCGCCGCCGCCAACGCCGCTGCGCTCCCAACTTTACCTCAGTCTCCTCCACACTGACACCCCGGGCCGCGCCGCCCCTGTCACGTGACACCAGACTCCCTCCTCCCCACCCCCTCCCTCCTTTTCCCTCTCGCGCTCGCTCTCGCGCCTTCCCCCTCCCACTTGCCTTCCTGCGTTCCCCTCCCCTACCCCGGCCCGGTCGCGGTGTCACGTGACGCGTACAGGAACGCGCACGCCAGCGTGCGCGCGCCGCCACGCCACGAGACGCCGCACTTGGGCTGTGAGCGTCAGCCCCGCCTCCTCCCGCAAGCCCCGCCCCTGCCACGTGACGCGCGGACGGCCTCCGCTTCCTCTTACTGGCGCAGTTCCGCGTCTCCTCCCTCGCCGTGGCGGGTGCAAGTGCTCGCCCCAGTCACGTGTCGAGGGAAGCGGGAAGGCGTCGTTCCCCGAGCCGGTCCTCCCCCTCCCCCTTCCGCCTCCGCCATGTTTCTACGCCGGGTCCGGCTTGGGCTTCCCCCGTGAGGAAATGGCCGGGGAGCTCCAGGAAACCCAAGCGCCGTGCTTGCTCCGGCGCAGCCTGGGCTGACGACTCAGGTTGGCGGCTTGAACCCGAGCAGTTCTACGCAGGCTAGGGGAGGCCATGGCGTCCGGCAGTAACTGGCTGTCTGGGGTGAATGTCGTGCTGGTGATGGCCTACGGGAGCCTGGTGAGGAGACCCCCTTTCCCTCCCTCCGAAACCCCGCTTCTGTCGCGTGAGACCCGGGGGAGACCCTTCTCTGAAACGGTGCCTGTCTTCCTTCGCCTTCACGGGCGCTTTTGGCTGGGCTTTGACTGCACATCTCAAGAGATTTCCTGGGACCTTCACGTTACCAACCTGCCCGAAGCGAGTACCTAGGGCGCCGACCCTGTGATCCCCCGCTGCTGCCCCAAGTCCGCCCCCAATATTCGCTGGCCTTTACTCTTGCAGCATTTTACCCCGAACCCGGAATGTGGGGGGTTGGAATGAAGGCATGTTTCTGTCTTATTGAAGCTTTCTTCATTTCTCGTTATCTTTTTGGACAGGTGTTTGTACTGCTGTTTATTTTTGTGAAGAGGCAAATCATGCGCTTTGCAATGAAATCTAGAAGGGGACCTCACGTCCCGGTGGGACACAATGCCCCCAAGGTAGGTCCTGAGGGCAGTGAAGCCTGCTGCCTGCCCATTTTTTAATTTGTTCCCCCCCACCACCGATATTAACATTTTCTCAGCCTTTCAGGATGATTCTCATTTACATGTTTCGCTATACGGTTTTCGCTGGAATTTAGTAGACTGTGCAACAGCTCACTCTTAGCACTTGGCAAACCTGTTGACAGTTGTGCCACAGCACATAGCTTACCCTTCAGCTTCACCTGGCTACGTCTGTAGAATGGAGGGTTTGGACTGAAGGTCCGCAATCTTGTAACAAAATGCATATCTGAAGTCACCCAGTTTTTTATGTATGATTTTTAATTTTTGAAAGGCATATTTTACTGGAAGAAAAGGAGAGGCAGAGGTATCTTCCATTACCTGGTTCGCTCTCCAAAGCTGTAACAGCCAGAGCTGAGCCAGTCTGAAACTAGGAGCCAAGAGTTTCCTCTAGGTCTCCCAAGCGGGTGCAGGGTCCCAAGGCTTTGGGCCGTCCTCAGCTGCTTCCCAAGGCCACAAGCAGGGAGCTGGATGGGAAGTGGAACAGCCGCGACATAGGGGATGCCTGTTCGTCACGAGAAAGAGCTTAGGAGGGGGGTCTGGGAAGCGACAGGTGGTTCCAGAGCAATAGGTGGTTGCCTTTGTATAACTTTTTTTTAGTACTTATTTGAAAGACATTTACACAGAGGTCTTCTACCTGCTTGTTCACTCCTCAAATGGACCAACAGTCAGAGGTAAACCCATCTGCAAAGCTGGAAGCGTCCTCCAGATAGCACACATGGGTGCAGGGGCCCAAGCACTTGGATCATCCTGTGCTGCTGCATGCCAGAAGCATTACCAGAGAGGAAGCTGGATTGAAAGTGGAGCATCAGGGCCCAGCGCAATAATCTAGTGGCTAAAGTCCTTGCCTTGCATTCCCAACATCACATATAGGCACCAGCTTGTATCCCAGCAACCCCGTTTCCCATCCGGCTCCCTGCTTGTGGCCTAGAAAAGCAATCAAGGACAGCCCAAAGCCTTGGGACCCTGCACCCTTGTGTAGACCTAGAAAAGGCTCCTAGCTTCTGGCTTCAGCTCAGCTCATCTGGCCATTGCAGCCACTCAGGCAGAGAACCAGTGGACAAAAGATCTTCTAGTCAATATCTGACTTTGCAATAAAAATAAACAAGTCTTTAAAAAATATATGGGCCCGGTGGCATGGCCTAGCAGCTAAACTCACCTTGAACGCACCAGGATCCCATATGGATGCCGGTTCTAATCCCAGCAGCTCCACTTCCCATCCAGTTCCCTTCTTGTGACCTGGGGAAGCAGTCGAGGACGGCCCAAAGCCTTGGGACCCTGTACTCTCATGGGAAACCCGGAAGAGGTTCCTGTTTCCCGGTTTCAGATCGGCGTAACGCCAGCCGTTGCAGTCACTTGGGGAGTGAATCATCAACAGAAGTTCTTCCTCTATGTCTCTCCTCCTCTCTGTATATCTGACTATGTAATAAAAATAAATAAATCTTTAAAAAGAAATAAAAAATAGGTAAATAGGTGGGTCTCAGGACGGGGTGTCTCATGCCTGGATCCCGGACAGCCGACACGTGCACATGGTGAGCTGTTTTCCCCGGGCCTGCTAGGTTTCGGGGGCCGCTTCCTTCGGGGTGAGTAGACCGAGAGGGGAGGCCTCCGGGACTGGGCAGGTCCGGCACCCACCTCATGGGGCGGTGAATGGGATTTGGGAGGGGCGCGACCTTGGGCCTGGGTTATTTAAACCTCCAGCAGCCTCCCGGCAGCTGGTGGGTCTCAGGACAAGGCGTCTCATGCCTGGATCCCGGATGGCCGCCTTGTGCACATGGTGAGCCGTTCCCCGTGCGGCCAGTGCGCCATTTGGTGCCAGGCTCTGCCTGCTGGCCGCCCGGCCAGGGAGCTCTGGGGATTTGGTTCTTTGAGTTGCTGCTTAATTAGCTCCAGGTTGAACCCATTGTGCTTCTTGGACCTGAAACAGGCAGTAACTCTTCCTTTGCAAAACTTGAAATCACTAATAATGCTGAGCACCAAATACTAGTCCATGCAGAAGCTATGGCTTGGGGCTTGTCCTGCAAAAGTAGTTCCAACAGCTGGCTAATGTGTCAACAGGTAATGGAACAGAGTAGATCAGGCCCGACTGAGCAAACCTTAGCCCACAAGTAAAACTAGAAACCAGGAAGGAGCAGAGGTCATGCCGAGCTAGGCTCTTGTACCTATTGGTCTGCGGGAGCTAGGGACGCTAAGCCATAGTGTCTAAGATAGTGTTCGGGACAGGTGAGGAGCTGTGCCAAGCTGAGTCAGAGCATCTATTGGCAGGCAAGTGATCTATGGCCGGGAACAGACCCGGTTGGGGAGCAAAGGGGGCAACCCTAGCTGGGCTGAGGTTCCCACCAAGAGGCGCGTGGCCTGGAAGGGGGGCTGCGTTCTGATCTGGAAACAGTTGTAGTCTCCCTTGGCACAAGTGTGGACTGGGATTGGATGCACCGAACCGGGCCGGACCCCAACTCCCCCTGGTGTTCTGGAGGAACAAGGCAGATGTGGGATGGACTAGGCAGGGTCTCAAACCCCTACTGAGCCATGTGTGAGCCATACGTGGGTATGGACAAACCATGGCTGGGCTGGAGCATCCAACAGCAAGAACCAGATTGGGTGGAAGGCCAGTTAGGAAAAGCCACAGTTCCTGCTATGACAGGAGGTGGACTGAGTAGGGTTGACTCATGGACCCACTGGTAAGCGTGAAACCTGGCATTGGGAGAGGTTCTGATGGAGGAGCCCAGGCAACTCCTCTGGCAGGACATAGACCCGGCAAGTAAGCGCAAGCAACATGATAGGTAACAGCCCAGAAAAGGCCATGGAAAGCTACCCACTGGCATACAATTGGCAGACGTTGGGGCAAGACCAGGCTGAAGCTGTCCACGTCATCCACTGGCAAATCCAGGCACCAGTGTGGGTCGACCCAGGTTCGGTCGCAACAAAGACTAGTGCACATTATGGAATGCCGAGGAGAGGTTGCCTGTACCGGAAGGGACCGCAGTGCCCAACCAGCCTGAGATTAAGAAAGGAAGTGGGCAGAGCTGGCAGGGGAATAAGGGAGGGTTCCTTTGCAAGACAGCTACTTCATGCAGGAGAGCATGAGCTGGGATGGGGGCAGACCAGACTAGGCAGAGCTACCACACCTGTGCGCCTCATGTGGACTAGATCAGGGAAAAGCCGGGCTGGGCGGATTATTCCTACTGGTGCAAACAAAATTAAAGTGGGCGAGGGTTGTTTGGGCTTAGACACAGCATCAGCTGGAATCTGGGAGTGGGAGAGGCCTGGGAGGGAAATAGTGGGCTCATCCCTCTTGGGTCACCACTTCCACAGGAGGACATAAAACTAAGATAGTGGCTGGGGTGGAATGGGGTGTGGGACAGACTGGATTACTGCTACACTTACTGGCAAACCAGGGTAGGGGGTGGGCCTGGTGGGGGTTATTGTGGGTCGCTCCAACTAGGCTGCAGCTCCTACTGGTTTATGTGAGGGCCAAGTATGTGCTGGGCAGAACCAGGCTGGACTGCAATACCCATTGGTTCCAGTGGAAGTCAGAGTGAGAACAGAACCAACCCTGCAATTGCAACCACCAGCTGATTGGAGCGATGGTCAGTGCCAGGCCCTGTACTTATTAGCACATACAAGAAGTTTCTTTGGAGATCTTCCTAATTAAATGCTGGACTCAGAACCCTAACGAAGAAAAGAGAGAAGACAGAACAGGTCAACCAACCATCTCAGCTATGATGGACTATGATCGCATAGTGCTTGGAGTGGCAAGATTGACAGCGATTCATAACTGGTGAAATATCAAAACCACTTGAACAAGAACCTCAGAGCATGCCCTACATCCGGGACCTGGGGAGGGTGAGAAATTGGGTGGGTCTTCTCCCTTAAATACCCCGCTTTAAACAATTTTAAATAAAATTTTTTTTATTTTATTTTTTTTTAAAGATTTATTTTTATTATTTTTTTATTGGAAAGGCAGATATACAGAGAGGAGAGACAGAGAGGAAGATCTTCCGTCCGATGATTCACTCCTCAAGTGAGTGCAACGGGCCGATACTATGCCGATCCGAAGCCAGGAGCCTCTTCCGGGTCTCCCATGCGGGTGCAGGTTCCCAAGGCTTTGGGCCGTCCTCGACTGCTTTCCCAGGCCACAGGCAGGGAGCTGGAAGGGAAGCGGGGCTGCCGGGATTAGAACCGGCGCCCATATGGGATCCCGGGGCGTGCAAGGCAAGGACCTTTAACCACTTGCGCCACCACGCCGGGCCCTAAAATTTTATCTTAAAAGAAAAAAACCTCTTAAAAAAATAAGTAAATAAAAGTGGAGCAGCTGAGGCTTAAACCAGCTGTATGTCAGGTAGTGGCTTCTGGTGTGGACATCCCACATGGTTGCCCATTCAAGTCCTGCCTACTTGGTTCCGTTTCAGCTCCCTGCTAATGCACCTGGGAAGGTAGTAGAGGATGGTCAAAGTGTTTGGACCTCTGTCCCCATGTGGGAGTTCCAGAATAGGCTCCTGGCTCCTAGTTTGAAACAGCTCCAGCTGTTTCAGTTTGGGAGTGAATCAGTGATGAAAAATTGTATGGGTTACTCCCTGTTTTCAAAAAAGATTTTTTTTTTCCTAGGTAACAAAGTGATTATCTTGCCTTTATACTGTATTCCCCAGGTGATTGTGCATGAAGTTTTATCTCTGTCCCAAAATCCCATGCCAAGTATATTCAGCTTCCTATCTGACATTTCTTAGATTTCTAGGAGGCATTTCAAACTAACGTATCTAAATCAGAACCTTTCATAAACCCATTAACACCCCAGTCCTGCCTCTTTGTGCTTTCATTTCTCAGACAACACCTGCTTCTCTTACCCACTTCGTCTGGTGTCGCCATCCTGGGGTCACGGAGACCGAACTGCCCCCCACATATCCCTCCCACGTTTGCACTCTGACAGCCATGGACTTCACTCG